AGTCTAAAACTATCAGGTGGAAACATTAACCTCATAGTTGGCAGGCTTGTCACATAGCACAATGTACAGACCAATTGTAGAGACTCAAACTTTCAGGTTTTTGTACTTGTATAGAGAATAACCTGGTTTTTACAAACTGATATTTCCACTGGTTATTTTTAGATAGTATTATTATTAAAATTTCATCAAGATTTTTTGAAAAACAAAGTTCATGCAAAGATTTGATGACTTAATATAGCCATTTTAAGTGATACAAATGGTTATTTTAAAGGTTGTTAAGTTGATTTCTATTTCATAAGTTTACATGGAGCTATGACATTTTCAGTTCTCAGTAAGATAGCAGAATAGGAGACCATTTTACAGTATATAAAATAGTTCTATAAACTTTATTTCAGCTCAAATTCAAGGGAAAAAATTTAGTTCCCCCAGATGAGCAACAAAATGCTCAATTAACTAGCAGTGAGTTCATTTATAATATTATTAATAATGATAATAATTTGATTTTAGTAAACAGTTTCTAGGAAAAGACATCTGCAAACACCAGATAGAGTTCTCGATTATACCATTCAATGTAGTAGTAGCTTATTGGAGTGAATGTTAGCATATCCATACTCTTCTTTAAACTGTTCTACTCTTGGCAAGTTTCTGAGCACAAAATCATACTTACCTTGTGTTGATGTTATCAGCCTCTGTTATAAATTTTGGTTCAGTTTCTCTCTCATGAAACCTTATTTGAACATTTTAATGTCCAGAAAATATTTCTCAAATAACTTGCAATATTTAAAGCAGTAGAAGTCAGGTTAATGATGCTCAACACATCTAAATATGGAGGTGGCGTTGCTCCTGGTTCCTGCAGAAATTTTGAAGGATGCATTAGATTTTCTTTCATATCATCTTGGTATAGTTCTTGATGTGTGCTACAAAATGGATGAACCTTGACAATATTATGCTAAGTGAAAGAAGCCAGCCACAAAAGACCACATATTTTATAATTCCATTTACAGGACATGTTCAGATCAGGGAAAACTATAGGGACAGAAAGTATGTCAGTTGTGGCTTAGGACTGGGAAGCCTGGAGGCCGTAGGGAAGAGAGATTATGGAGTTTCTTTTTGAGGTGATTAAAGTGTCCTAACATTGATTGTGGTTTTGCTTGCATGTATCTGTGTATATTCTAAAAAACATTGTATACACTTAAAAGGTGAATCATATGGTATGTGAATTATATTTCAGTAAGTTGTTTAAAAGTGTGAGGTAAGGGGCTGATACATAGCATTTGAAATATTGCATTTATTCAGATTCTCTTTCTTCCAGGGCATGGCCAACTAACTCGGTTTGATGAAGATCACGAGGCACCTGTCATATGCAAAACACTGTCCCATTATGGCAAGAGATAAAGGATGAAACAGCCTCTTGCCTTTAAGGAAGTTCAAGTGAAGTAATGGGGACTATGGTATAATATTGTTGATGATAATGACTATGATGAAAGGAGGGAAAGAAGACATTCCATTTACTGAGCACTTACTATGTGCCAGGAACTGTGTTAATGTTTTCAATGTTATTTTGTTTTATTCTCATGGTAATCCTAGAGGTAGATAATATTATTTCTTCTGATTTTGTATCTGAGAAAACTGAGGCACAAGGAGGTAAAAACTAACTTGATTAGGTTCACACATCAAGAAGTGGCACACCAAGAATTTCAACCTGGTGTTTAGCCAAGAGCCAATGCTCTTAAAAATTATAACAAAACACACAATTCAAGGTAGATTAAAGCAAGTGTCATGCAAAAGTCAAGTAAAAGCGACAGAACCATTTGAAAAAAGAACACATCTTGCTTGCAGCTCAGGAAGAGCTAGGAAAATCAGTTCAGCGCTGCAGTCCATAGGTATGTTTGAACGTTTGACTACAGTTTTCATGAGTCATGAAGTAACTATAAACTTACATCAGATTAAATATTGCTTTGTAAAATAAATATGACTAAAGAGGAAATAACTACAGAGTTACAATGTCAGAGTTACAAATTTCACAAGATAAATTGATAATAAACAAAGAAACTATCATATCACAAGATATAAAACCAGAACCTCAAATTTTATTTATTCTCATCTCCAATATAATCCTTTTACAGCCTGATATGTTTCAAATTCTATTTTTTGTGCTTGCAATTACATTCCTAATCTAGATTGTATTGATTTTTGTCCTACTTTCTTATTGACTTTCCCACTGCTTCCCTTTCCACAAAGTTAGTTGAATGTTATGGCTAAAGCTATTAGCTGCTGTATGAGTCACATAAAGCAAATTACTAATAATAATTTTAGGGCTTTTCACATAAGGAAAATTATTTGGATTTCAATATGGAGGCTATATACTAAATGTTCACCTAAATCTATTTAGCCTATTGTTCTCTACATATTTCCATATCACTTTTTTCTACCTATAACCTTTACTTACATCTGAAAAATATCATTCCTCTTCTTCAGTGCTTTCGAAATTTCCTTCCCAAAACCTTTACTGAAAGATTGTTTTGGGTATAATCAGAGAAATAATGAAGCTTTACTTCCTAGTCGGTCAGCATTGCTGATAAGCATGAAATATTATGCTAGACAATGATCTTCTTCAATCATTACAGGGAAAAAAAAAAAACAGTGCAAATGAAATAACGTTTCCTCCTACTATGCATAAATGATCACCTCTGAGTCAATCTGCAGACTACAGGAAGATATGATAGAAGTGAGTTATTTTATGCAAATAATGAAATAAACATTCTAGAGCTCCATGTTATTAGTCAGATTAGGTTAGGTGATTAAAAAAGACCCAAAATCTCAGTGGCTTAACACATAGCAGTTTATTTTTTACTCTGAAAACATTCACTGCAAGTCCATCAGCTCTTCAGGGCAGGCCCCTTACAAACAGCGACTTAGGGATCCAGGTTGCATCCATCTTGTAGCTACACTGCTTGGAGCACATTGCTTTCAAGTCACTGTGGCAGGTAAAGAGAGAGCTGGAGGATCCATGCAGGACTTTTTATGGCTCCACTATCGAAATGATGCATCACTTCTGATTACAATCTCTCTGCAAACCCTCTGCTAGAAGTAGTCAAATGGCATTGCCTAACTGCAAGGGGCTGGGAAGTGATAGGAGCACATTTGATAAGCTGTTAATGTTTTTGCCACATTCTACAAATAATATAAGCTTTTTCATATTTTAATGAGCAACAATTTTTGAAAAACTCTCTATGGATACAAAATATCCCTTAAATATAATAAATTTATCATTATATAGATATAGATATATATTTTAGGAAACAGATAATGTTATGAGGCTTCAAGGTGCGCTAACATGGCATTACATTTATAATCTTCCAAGAACCTTACTGAGAGGTTTTGTTATTTCCACTCCAAAAATTTGAGGAGCAAATATGTTACTTACATACTAGATGTTTTCTATATTTATAATAAATTTGCTTGTGATTCAAGGGACTTGACACAAAATCAGCAACTTTAAAAAAATAGCTATTGACTCTTTCATCATGCCAAAATATTTTGTACATGACGTTACAATTAGCCCATCTCCTGTAACAGGTGTCTTTTGAAACATCAATTTATAAATCATATTACTCTGATATATACAAATGTGAAGTAAAAATAATTTTCAACTCATTTCAGCATTAGTGGTTAACATGAATCAGCAACAGAAATGAGGCATGAAATCTTAGTAAAATATGATATAGGAAGATCAATGATGTCATTATCTCCCAAATTAACTCCTATTTTAATTTAATATTAATGCTTAAGACAACAAGCTTTAAAACAGCATATTTACTAAAATTGTGGCAGTAGTTTTATGTAATAAGACATACAGCATACTAGAGGTCTGGCACTCATCTTGCTTACAGTAAACCAGCTTCAATATGAAGGCATTAAATATTTTTTAAAAACTTTCTTTTTACATGCTAAATATTTTGGCAAGTGTGAAATTAAACACAGTAATGAAATTAATATAGTAAGATTAAGAAATTACAAACTTGAAACTTGTCTCTTAAACATAAATCATATAAAAAAGAATTACTGGTTATATAGAATATTTGTGGATAATCAAAAATTAATAGTATAAAACATGCAAAATATTTCAGAATCTTTATTAATCAAAAAATACCAGGGTCTATTTAAAATTATTCCCCTCCAAAGGGTATCAAAGTTAATGCAAATCATGTAACATTCTAATGCTAAATACTACTCAGTACTGTTGAATTAGAGGTAAATTTCATAGAATTGGGGGCTTACTTATACTGTTAAGTTGCTGTCTTTTTCGTTCACTTGAAGCAGCATACAACAACATACCAGAATTTCATTAAGTAAGAAAAGAATGGCTGCTGCACTGGCAAAAATAGAATGTGTAAGGATCAAAGGCACACTACTCAGCTAGCCAAAGTGATAACACACTCTTTCCCCCCACAAGCCCTTTGCCCATGTAAACAAAAGGTTATTAAGGAGAAAAGGAAACGAAACGAAACTTATCTTTCAAAAGGAAGGGTTTTGAGACATCAATGTTAAGTCCACGCTTCAAAAACGTCAACTATGTTTGTCTAGATGTTTTGCATTATGTTCAAACATGAATCCAAATTCGACACTTTAAAAAATTAGGTATCTTTTTCTTCTCCTCATTATTACCTACAACATTTTACTTGAATTCCAACCATTTTAACCACTAGTACGACAAAAGGTCTTCAGCTGGCAGCGTGATTAAACACTGGAAGGAAAAACGCACAAACAGAACCCTATGTTTAAGCCACGGGCAACAATGACGGCACTTTTTGACGCGGTGGCATTTGACTGGAAAGGCAAAGCCCGGGGCGGAGTGGGGGAGCACAGGGGAACTCGGGGGGCCATGCAGGGGGGCGCGGGGCCCGAGCACTCGCAGTTGCCTTGCCCTCGCGAGCTTGCTTCGCTAGAGAGGGGCGCCTGGCGTCGCTGCCGGGCCCTTGCCCTGCCCCGCTTGTGCCTCAAGCCGACTTCTTTTTCTTCTTCTTGCCGTGCTTCTTGTGGCGTTTCTTCTTCTTCTTCTTCTTCGCTTTCTCCGTCGTTTGTTCTCGCTCTTCGTGCCGTCTCTTCTTTTTCGCTCGCGCCCCCGCTTCACACTCCGATTCCGAGGGAGGCTCCGAGGCCAAGGGCTCGTCCTCGGGGTCGGTTTTCTTCCTTTTCCTGCTGCCGCTCCGAGCACCCTTTTCTCTCTCTGTTTCATCCTTTGGCTTCTTTTTCTTCTTTCCAGGCTCCCTGCTCTCCGATTCCGAGGCCTGTGTAGAGCTTTCTGACGATCTGCGCGAGTGTTTCTTCTTCTTCTTTCTCTTTTTGCCTCGCTTCTTGGGCTCCGCCTCAGAATCCGAAGAACTGCTCGAAGAATCGGAGCTCGAGGAAGAAGGCGAAGACTGGCAAGATTTCTTCTTTTTCTTTTTCTTTCGTTCTCTTTTTCTGGATGAGCCCTCGTTCCCGCTTAATGCTTTCTCCCTGCTTTGCTCGAGCTCTTTCTTCCAATTCTCATTCATTTTTTCTTCGAATTCTGCTAACGCCTTGGAGCCTTTCTTTTTGCTTTCTATTTTTTTCTTTACTTCTTCCCACGTGGGCCTTGGTCGATTCAGATAATCTTGTATTGTTGGGCCTACAGGCTGAGACGGGCCTCTCCATCGGGCCATTGCGATGGGGTTCATGTAGGCTATGCGATTATCTCGCTTTCCCATGGTGCTTAATGCTTCCCAGGGCAGACTCACTTGCTAAGGGGCATGAGGTTAGACACCTTCATTAAGCTCTTCATCTGCTGGTACACCAAGGAGGCTCTATTCTGGGAGAGAAGCAGATAGAATGATTATAAAACACCTTTAATATAAGACAAAATAACCACAGAAGCTTAACTGTCCACTGTTATCACATAGTACAGTAGAAATTTTCAAAATCTTAGGAACAACAAATATACATCGTTAAGATTTTTGCATATTTTAGACATTGTGATACAAATAAAGTGTTTTATGTAATTCATGTAAGGCTTTGTTATCTAAAATTTTTAATAAGTATTTCCTTTTGTATTGTATAATACATTCCTTTTTTTTTCTTTCTTTGATTCTGTCTTATATGGTATAATGTGAGAGACAAATTTTTATTGCAAAAATTCTGCACCAGGAAGACCTTTCCAACTTATAGAAGTGCAGCACAATCCACTCCATTCCTTGACACAAATCTAGAAATTCAGAAACACCTGAAAAAATCTTTCTCCCTCAACTCTCACATCCAATCCATTCCTAAATCTTGCTGTTTAAACCTCCACAATTGGTTTCATGTCAATTTATTTCTCTCCAAATATATTGTCATCAAGTTAGTCAAGGCACTATCATCTCTCACTTGGACTATTAATCTTTAGTATCTACTAAGTGGTTTTTTTTCTCCCAAAGATGGCTTAGTGTTTTGCAATGGACTATCTCATTCAATCTCTAGGCTAATACTATGAGGTTCATTCTATTATTGTCCCTAATTCGCAGATGGAGAAACTCAAGCTTAGAGAAGTTTACTAACTTATGTCAAGTAACATCTAATAAATGGCAGAACCAGAATTTAAAGCAAGGCAGCCAGACCTCCAACCCTTCAACCTAACACAATGCTATATTACCTCCTTATAGCAACCTTTTAATTGACTGCCCTATTTCTCCCCTTACTCTTTTCCATTCCAGTCCCATGCTACAGTCAGTGGCTTTACATTTTAATAAGAATCAAATCCAAACTCCTATAAAGGTCTTATATGATCTGTCCTGTTTCTCTCTCTTTCACCTGGAGTCACACCCCTTTTCCCAGTTCTACCTTCTCCACTCTTCTCTTGCTTTCTGGAATATGCTAAGATCCAAGCTTAGCCACCATGGCCAGTTCCACATCTTCCTTCATGTCTCAGTTTAAACGTCAGTTCATCAGAAAGGCAAATGTTAAGTTGAACTATATAAACTGTCAACTATATAAAACAAAAACAAGTGCATACCAGCAATTTCATATGGCTCAACCTTATACTAAAGTCGGTTGCCTCTGTATTTACCACTCATCCTCGTTATTCTGTATCCCAGTTCTTTGTTTATTTTATCCATAGCACTTAGTAAATCGATGATCATTTTATTGCTCTGATTATTTGGATGTGTGTTGCGTGTGTCTGCCCACCACTAAATATAAGGCCAAGAAGGATAAAGGCCATGTTTGATCTGTTTTATTTACCATGGTGTTCCCAGTGCCTAACATGGTATCTGGATTACTCTAAGCACTCAATAACTATTTGCTCAATACTAACCAAATAAATGGATAGGTGCATGGTAACTCTGGGGGAGAGAGGCATTCAGAGAAGCCTCCTAAAGTCGGGGATGCCTGTATAGGATTTTGAAGGATAAATGGTTTATCCAGGAAATGAAAAATGAAGGACATTCCAGGCAGGGAAAAGACTATGTGAAAAGTTACAGGGATCTAAAAGCCATGTATTTAGTGTTGACGGAGTCTAATGTGCAAACAGCAGTGACAGAAGGTGAAGTTGCATAGATAGGAAATAGCCTCATCACGAAGCCCCTCTTAGGTCATTATAAAATCTGAGATTTTGTCCTGTAGTTAAGAAGCCAATAAAGTATTTTAAATAGAAGGGAAAGATGGTCAGCCACATCATAGACTTTTCTGTCAGTCTCGAGTTTTACTCTGACCCTTTAAGTCAGCCAAATTCAATGCCGCAGATATTACAGTGGCTCTTGGTGATAGTTTCCTGCATTTCATTTGCTGGGTTCTTGCGCGTATTCTCCTTTCCCTTCAGATCTTCCCACCTTTTCTTAAGTCTTTTTGTCTTTTAAAAAAAATATTTGTTTATTTTTATTTAAATTTTTTATTGTTGACATTATTGCAGATGTCCCTCATTTCCCCCCCTTACACCACCTCAACCCACCCCCTCTCTTGGCCCTCACCACACTATTGTCTGGGTCCATGGCCTATGCGTACATGTTCTTTAGCTAACCCTTTCAACTACAGCTGTCGGTCTGCTTCATATATCCAGGCCTCTGGTTTGATTTTGTTCATCACAGTATTTTGTTCATAAGGTTGCACATATTAGTGAGATCATATGTTATTATTCTTTCTCTGACTGGCTTATTTCACTTAGCATAATAATTTCCAGGTGCCTCCATGCTGTTGAAAGGGGTAAGCAGTCCTTCTTTTTTACAGCCCTGTATGATTCCATGGTATACCTTACTTTTTTATTCACTCATCTACTGACTGGCACTTAGGCTGTTTCCAGATCTTAGCTATTGTAAATAATGCTGCTGTGAGCATAGGGGTGCATACATTCTTTCTGATTAGTGTTTCAGAATTCTTAGGATATATTCCTAGAAATGGGAATCCTGGGTCAAAAGACAGTTCCATTTTTAGTTTTTTGAGGAAACTCCATACTGTTTCCCACAGTGGCTGCACTAGTTTGCATTCCCACCAACAGTGCATTAGGGTTCTTTTTCTCCAAGTCCTCGCCACCACTTGTTGTTCATTGATTATTGATGATAGCCATTCTGACAGGTGTGAGGTGACACCTCATGGCAGTTTTAATTTGCATCTTGATGATTAGCTACCTTGAGGGTTTTTTATGTCTCTTGGCCATCTGTATGTCCTCTTTGGAGAAGTGTCTCTTCAGGTCCTTTGCCCATTTTTAAATTGGAGTGTTTGTCTTCCTGGTGTTGAGTTGAATAAGTTATTTATATATTTTGGAGATGAACCCTTATCAGATGAATCATTGGGGAATATGTTCTATCATACTGTGGGTTCCCTTTTCCTTTTGTGGATTCTTTTGCTGTGCAGAAGCTTTTTAGTTTGATGTAGTCCCATTTGTTTATTTTTTCCTGTTTCCCTTGCCCTTGGAAGCATACTGGCAAAAATATTGCTGTGAGATGTCTGAGATTTAACTGCCTGTGTTTTTGTCCAGTATTTTTTATCAATTTGTGTCTTAGATTTAAGTCTCTTATTCATTTTGAGTTTATTCTTGCATTTGGTGTCAGTTGGTCTAGTTCATTTTTTTGCATGTACCTGTCCAATTTTCCCAAAGCCATTTATTGAAGAGGCTGTCTTTACTCCATTGTATGCTCTTTCTTCCTTTGTCAAATATTAATTGAGTGTTATGGCTTGGGACAGTTTCTGGGTTCTCTATTCTGTTCCACTGGTCTGTATGCCTGTTCTTGTGCCAATACCAGGCTCTTTTGATTACAGTGGCTTTGTAGTAAAGCTTGATATCTAATATTGTGATCCCCCCAACTTTGTTCTTCTTTCTCAAGATGGCTGCAGCTATTCGGGGTCTTATTTGGTTCCATATAAATTTTGGGGATATTTGTTCTGGATCTGTGAAATGTGCCATTGGTGTTTTAGTAGGAATTGTGTTGGATCAATAGATTGCTTTGGGTAGAATGCAGAGTTTAATGATGTTATTTCTTCCAATCCATGAGCAAGATATATGCTTCCACTTGTTTGTATCTTCCTTTATTTCTTTCTTCAACATTCTATAGTTTCCCAAGTACAGGTCTTTTACCTCCTTGGTTAAGTTTATACTTAAGTACATTTTTTGTTGTTGCAATAGTAAATGGGATTGTTTTCTTAGTTTCTCTTTCTGAGAGTTTGTTATTGGTGTGTAAAAACGTCATCGATTTCTGGGTGTTAATTCTGTATCCTGTTACTTTGACAAATACATTTATTAAATCTAGTAGTTTTTTTTGGTGCAGTCTTCAGGGTTTTTTATGTACAACATCATGTCATCTGCAAATAATGAGTTTTACTTCCTCCTTTCCAATTGGGATGCCTTTTTTGTTTTCTTCCTGTCTCATGGCTGTGGCTGGGTCTTCCAGTACAATGTTGAATTAGAGTGGTGAACCGGACACCTCTGTCTTGTTCTTGTTATTAGGGGAAATGGTTTTAGTTTTTGCCCATTGAGTATGATGTTGGCTGAAGGTTTGTCATATATGGCCTTTATTATGTTGAGGTATGATCCCTCTATTCCCACTTTGCTGAGAGTTTTTATCAAAAATGGGTGTTGGATTTTGTGAAATGAAATTTTGTGTATCTATTGATATGGTCATGTGATTTGTTTTATTTTTGTCATTTTACAGATGTCCCCCATCTTCCCACCTTATATGATCATGTGGTTATTATCTTTCATTTTGTTTATGTGATGTATCACATTTATTGATTTGCGAATATTGTACCAGCCTTCCATCCCTAGACTAAATCGCAACTGGTCATGTTATATGATCTTTTTAATGTATTGCTGGATCTAGCTTGCTAATATTTTGTTGAGGATTATAGCATCTATGTTCATCAGCAATATTGGCCTATAATTTTATTTCTTCGTAGTGTCATCTGACTTTGGAATTAGGATAATGCTGGCCTCATAAAATGAATTTGGAATTCTTTCTTCCTCTTGAAATTTTTGGAATAGTTTGAGGAGGATAAGTGTTAGTTATTAATTGAATGTTCAATAAAATTGGGGGGTGAAGCTCTCTGGTCCAGGACTTTTGTTTGCTTGAAGTTTTTTCTATTACTGCTTCAATTATATTAGTTGTTATTGGTGTATTCAAGTTTTCATATGTCCTTGATTCTGTTTTGGAAGATTGTATGCTTCTAGGAATTTGTTCATTTCACCCAGGTTGTCCAATTTGTTGGCATATAGTTGTTCATAGTATTTTCTTACAATCCTTTGTAT